CCGCCGGCCGTTCTCCGGCACGCTGGCTGGCGGTAGGGGCCCCAGGCTGGCGTCAGTGCTCCCAGTTTTAGAGACCGTCACAGAGCTGGGACGTCTTCCTGCCTCTCCCTCCCTCCCCTCTCTCCCCGCTGCGCGCCCTCTCTCCACGCCAGCCCCACCGCTTCCTGCGGCTCATCTGTCCCGGGTGGGGGTGGGGCGCAGGGGTGCCCCTGGCCCCACCGCTGAGAGCTGCAGAGGCCCGCACCTCCGGAGACTCCCCGGGAGCCCGTTGCTCCAGTTCTCAAGAGCTTTGGTCAGCTGTAAGCGCTTTTCTGGCCTCCTTTGGCCTTTCTCACGGCCTTCTCTTAGATGGAAGGGCCTCAGTGGTGTGCTGTGATTGCTGCGCCCAGCCATCCACCGGGCCCCTTTGGCTTCCCAGGCCTTTACTGATCTTTCTTTCCCGGGGGCTGTGGTGGCTGGGGGAGCCTGACTGAGCAGAAAGTTAGGTGGCCTTTAGTTGGGTTTCCCGTCAGAGGTCAGAGATGCCTGAGCGGCCTGCGGGCCTGCACCCCACCTCTCTGCACTTTAGACTGAACCGGGCAACTGACGTCAATCTAGTTGTGTCAGAAATTTCCACCTGCTGGAGTAGAGACCACCTTCCCTTCTCTCTAGAGGATGTGAACCTCAAGCTGGGTTGCACCTAGATTCTGTGTTTTTTTTAAAGTAGTGAAGTAAATGACACACTATAGGCTTTTGAGGAAACAAATGCGGGGGTGCCATGTGGGAGAGGCTGTGCTAAGCTGTTGCTGGGGAGGCAACCAGCCCTGTAGGAGACCAGTCCCAGACACAGCAGCTGCCCACCTTCCACCTGTGCCCCCTCCTGCTTCCACTTACCAGTACCTGTTCTCCTCTCAGTCCTGCTGCAATGACACCCTTCCCCAAAGATCTAGTCTCCCCTTCACAGTTCCCTTTGTAAGAGCAGAATCCTGTGGTATTTTGTTTTTTAGTTAGTTTGCTTGGTACCAGGGATCAAACTCAGGACCTTTCATTTGCCAGACAGGTGCAGTGCCACTGAACTAAATCCCTGGCCTGGATTTTATTTTTTAAAAGAGACAAAACTTTCTAAGAAACCAGCAGGAAGTACAGGGGAAATAAGCAAACTACAAAAGCAATAAAACAGGTGAGCCGTGGGTGTGCAGACTTCTCAATTTTCAATAACTTAACCCAGCCTTTTTTCCCTCATTTTGTGCTGGTTGCTACCATGCAGTTTTCGGGGTGCACAGATCTGGTTCCTGTCCACACAGGACATGGACTGCTTGTCCTGTGCTGATGTCTCTCATCTTTCAGTCAGAGGCACTTGTCCCCTGCTTTCAGGGAGGATGAATGTGACTGGATCCAGGCACTGGCACATAGGGAGCTTCCAAGCTGGTGGGTGTTCTGCCTTTGCTCTTGTGCAGACTGGGCACTCGCCCTCTCTCGGCCAGTACTCAGTACTTTCAGTACTCAGCTTCTGAGCACTGCTAATGTCTCTGCTCCCTTCCTCACCACAGTGGAGATCATGAAAACTATGTGGATATTCTTGTTTGTTCGTTGGTTGGTTCCACTTCCTCACCTCTCCCCTGTGGCTTGAAGGGCCACAGCTCTTGGAAATCTTCCCCTTGGCACAGAAGTCCCAGCAACACTGAATATTCATGCTGGCTCTGCCACTTGATAAAATGCTGCTTCTTCCAATCCATTCACTCATTCATCCACCACACGCCAGGCACTGGGGATGTGAGGATGAATAGATCAGTCAAGAGGCAATAGACTGTTGAGGAAAATTGATGCAAACTTTGAATGCACTGAGTACTACGAGGGTGGCAGGAACAGCTTATGTTTTAGCAGCAATTCATTTTTCCTGGAGGATGCAAGGGGCATCCAGAGCTTGACTGCCAGGGCGATGTGTGGTTGGTTAGGCCGTGCTGAGAAAACCCATCGTTGGGCCCCAAGCACTTGCCAGTGCTTGCCAGCGCTACACACCCACTCTCTGGAAACAGCTCCAATCCCGGGGTTGAAGATTTCTCCCTTTTCCCCTGGAAACTTCCTTCTGTGCAATCCTCTTTTTATTTGCAGATTGGACAAGCATTGGGCTGCTTGAAGGCTCATTTTTTTCTCTGAGGTAGATGTCTGAGGTATCTGTGCAACCTACCTTGGAGAAGCCCTGTCCTTTAAATTCCCCAGCTCCTTCTCCATCGAAGCAACAGTGCTGTCAGAATAATGCTCAAGGTGTAAGAGAAATGTTTCTCCTTTGGGGATTGCTAGAGAGATAAAGAGGTGATTTATGTCACTCTGATCTTCATTGAAACATTGAAGAATGATTTTTAAAAGTGAGCAATGGTAAGGAGAGTCACCCCAGCCTTGTTCAGCAAAACTCTACTGATAAAGATCACTACCAGTACCACCATGTTGCAACACAAAGGGGGCTTTTAGGAGCATACACGATTATCCATGTACACAAGCCAAGTCCATTGTTATGTCCCAAGATGGTCAGAAAGTTTGCCTTTTGGTGAAGGTATAATTTTGCTTCCAGAATTAAAAATTATACCTAGCATGATTTGGCAAAACTAAACTGTTGATGACTCAGATAGTGGCAGGCAAAATTGGAGGGAGGAGGGCTCCCACTGACCGTTAACCACTCCATCAGACTCATGCTGGACATTAATCTACCAAACACCACCTACACATTTCATCTACCCCTAATCTGCTGCCTACTCTTTGTCATCACTAAAATTTTGCTTCCCAAGTAAGAGTGCCACAGACTGGCTTGGCTCTCTTTCCTTTAGGCCTAAGACTCAAACTGATGGTTAATTGTTCTCTAGCTTGTGACATCTTTTGTATTAATGACTTTGTGTTACCATTTTGAGAATTTATTTTCTATCTAAATAGATTGTCAGTTCCTTGAGAGCAGCAATTGTTTTAAGTTTCTCCTTGAAGTAGTATACTATAAATGAATATATATGAATAGAATTTTACTCCTGGAATAGACATTAGAAATCATCTGGCCCAATACCATATGTATATATGGCCAAAGCATGAGAGAACCAAGGTGTTTTACTTTACTCAATCTTTTTAAAGAAAGTTACTTGAAGATGCACAATAAGGGAACAAACAAGAAAGAAACTGAGGTCCAAGAAACAATGGTTCCTATTTTGGGCAGCCATGAAGAGAAACCCTAGGAAGAATTTGTTCTGCAGGCCTGTGGTCTTCATTACAGTGGGAGGACAGAAGACTCCAGGAAAGCAGTCTCTGAGGGCGACATGAGACAAAGACATTACACACAGTAGGGAGTATTACTGGAACAGCGCAAAAAGTTAAGGTTGTAATGAAAGACAGAAAGCAAGCAGGAAACAGAAGACAGTAAGTACAGTAAAGACAAAAAGTCATGCAAAAGCATTAAATCCAGAAGTGAAGTAGCCTGCCCAATTTAATCAGGTTAGCACGGAAGTAGGAGGAGGAGAAGGAGAAGGGCAAGGAGAAGAGGGAGAAGGAGAAGAGGAAGAGAAGAAGAAGATTCTAAACAACAATGAATGAGAAGGAATTGGGAGGCTGTTAGGGATATGATGTACAAGGCATGTTTTTTTATCAACAAGAAAAAGGGGAGGTAATCGGAAACTTCAGGAAAGCCAAAAACTTTTCATGAAAGGCATAGATGTGCAGTGATCTGAAGTGTGGCCTGGTTTTGAGCTGTGGAATTTATGTGGTGTAAGGTGGATGCAAGGAGGACTCTTTTAGCACATGGAATCTGTGTCATTGGAACAATAGTGCGGGTGCTCTGGCTCTGCCGTGATGAGCATGTGCTTAGTCACAGTGATGGTTTCCACCTTCTGAAAACCAACGACAAAGACCTGAAGTCTCCTTGAGAATAGCTAAAAGAGCGCGTGAAAGTTGTCTACACTGATGATATAAAAGGAAAAACACAGCTTATATAAGGTGGAGAATAGAAAAGGAGAGAAGTGGAATTGTGAGAGATTAAATTATTGTTCCCAGTTATTCACATCCTCCCTGAAAGAAGCGTGTGTGTTCTTGCTGATGCTGGGAGGAGGACATTTCTTCCCCTGCCCATTGATGTCGGGCCTAGTATGTGCCTTGCCTGGGCCAATTAAATACGAGTACAAGTGATAGGCCATGCCAAACAGACACTGTAAGAAGCACTGTGAGGTTCTGCTGCTGTTCTTCCCTCTCGCGAGAAGAGTAGGT